CCTGAAATTATTAAATTAATTCAGATTTACTGAAAGCTGGTGCTAGGCTACTCTTGGTCGTCAGAAAACGCGACTAGACGAGAATGGCGGAGCGAATTAAATGAGCAATTTTAGCTTTGTTAGGTTTTCTAAAACAAGTTCTAGTGTAAAATCCCATTCAAGCAACTATCCAATTATTTTCCAAATTGGACAGCACATGATCCTGTACACAATGGCATTAACACGTAACATGAGAACGTTTTGCCCAATTTGGAAGTAATTGGATTTTTTTTTTTTTTTCAAAAAAATCCTCTGACTTCTGAATTGGACGCGAGACCGTAGACCAAGTCCAATGTGTGTCCCGAGGGTCGAACTGTTTGAGCAAAACTTGGTGTACTGCATGCACAAACAAAATACGGTAGCCGCGAAATAGTATCTTGTCTTAACATCCTATTGTAAATGCTCCGGCCTTTTGGTAAAGCTTTCAACTGTTTCAAAGAATAAGAATAACTATTGTCTTGAAGTGACAATTATAGCCATATTAAGTAGCTCTAAGTGGTTCGCCTGTTGAAATGCTTCGGCAAGAATTGTGATTTGCTTGTTAATTTTGCGGTTACTAACTAAAAATGGTACAACATCGTTACCTAAAAAGAAAACGCTCTTGCAACTTCAGTAATTTAAGAAATACGTACTTCCAAAGCTTTCCAACAAACTTCAAATGTCCGACTATATGTTATAATGAAGCGAAGCCCTTTGCTATTTTCGAATCAACAATCCTAGCAAAATAGCATGGAAGAAACTTCGCAACGAGTTAATGAAATTCGTAGCAAGTTCGATCGATCAAAGAAATTAGTTTATACGGTTTTGTTAAAATAATTGAACATTATTTCTTTCTTAAAAGGGAGTGGTATATTGCAAGGGTTCGTATGTAAGAAAAAGGAACAAAAAGACCTCAATGAACTGACTTAAAAGGAATCAATTACCAGTGTGCTACAACTGGGAAAGATTTCACTGCAATGTTAAAGGTGAAGTGAATGATGCGGTTATGAGCATGGGAAATTCTTGGTCAGACTACACAGAGAGGACCATCAATCAAGATAACACATTTGCTTTCGACTGAGTGGTTAAACGTGTTTTAATGACCTTTTTAGAGGTATTGCTAATCGAATTCTGTTGAATTTATTACATTTCCCTCAATAAACGAGAGCCATAAAACCATCTTCAAACTTCCAAGACAATGCTGCTCCTTAACTTTGGACGTGACTTGGACTTTTATTAAGAAAAAATTCACGTGTACTACTGGTTACTGAAGCAACCTCGTACTTCAGAATGTTTGCAGTACAACATACCACCTGTTTATTCGTACAAAACGCTTGAGTGCTAAATTTTTCAATAACTTTTTTTTTGTTCTCAATAAAATTAAACTTTGAAATATAGTAGGGATTAATTGAAAGTTCCCTAGCTTGTATCGCTTACTGTAGTGAATCAATCAGAGCGTTAACTACGATTGCTTTTTTTTTGTTGCCCCTTCTTTTGTTTCAAATACATCTCGCGATAGTTCTCTGATACCCCCGGCCCCCCAATTTAATGTTGTGCAGGTGTCGGCACGGTTTGCACAGATCTAGAGATAGAAAAACCAAGAATTTGGGGAAGAAAATTTACGTTCGAGACGCTCGAAGATAGCATTTTACACTTAAGTGTGGTTAGTAACATTTGTTTCATGCGTTGTACATTTGTTGTTTAACTCGTTACAATGGAAGCCCGAGTTACTCCTAAAGGGTTTTAAAGAATAAATCGTGTTAAACAGAAATGACGTAACAGAACTCCCAAAAGCTAATCTCTGGTCTCGTTGATCATTTCTTTTCAAGCTAATTAATTCTGTGTATTCGGATGATACATCTAAACAATAGGAAGTTTAAGAAAACCACGACGGCAACGGCAACGGGAACGTCGCTAAACAAAAGATTTAATTAGGAGAACAATGGCTGTGCACGTGCGTTATAATTCTTGGTACATTTCTTTACCGTCCTCGGCAAAACAACAACGTGAAATGACCAAATTTCGCGTTGTCTGGAGAACGTGAACCACGAAGGCTATTTTTCAATTTTCAATTTGAATTCATCGATGTGTCCTAGATTCAGTTTCGTGATAGTTTTGACAGTGTTAAACAAAGTTAATGACTCTAGGGTATCGCGAGATTCCTAGGTAAGATATATAATCATTTTTTAATCGACGTCGTCTTCGGCGTCGCCGTCGTGGTTTCTTAAGCTCCCTAATATCTCTCAGTGGACGGGTTTATTCAACATCTGTCCACTGAAACTAACACTGCGAGGAAAAATAAGTTGTTAATCCCTCTAGAAGATCATTGATGATTTAGAACAAGGCTCATTGTTTATATTTAGTGTCAGTTATATTCTTGTCAGTAAGCCAACCGAGCAATATTTAACAGGCCTTAACAATTTTAAAGAAATTCAAAAGCAGCGGTCTACTGAATTCAGTACGCTCCTTTTACATGTGGCCTCAATAATAGCTCTACAACAGGTACCTGCTAGTTAGAAACAATTTACAAATTTATCGCAATTAAAAATACCTGTCCCATGTTTAACACGTGGACTACCTCATGTCTGATTTTGCAGTTCCACAAATTGACGGCACATTGATCTGTTTACATACATACGAACCCTTGACAAGTTTCCTCTTATTGAACTGCAAACGAGATTTTCACCCTTGCAGCTTGCATGCTAAAATGGTATATGTTTAACCTGTTCGGCACACATGCATTTAACAAAGTCTTTGTAGCGACGTCTGCATCAAAAAAAATAACTTTGAATTAGCAACTTAGTGATACATTTTTTTAAAAAAAGTTCTCCCTATATTTCTTACATCAAGTTACATTCACGTTTAGTGCAAGGTTACGGCGTCTGGATTTTTCTTTTTGTTCCCAAAAGAAGTGGCCGTAAATCGAAGATGATCTTTTTCCCAACGCTCAACTCCAGGAACAATATGTGAAAACCAGTTCAAGAGGTTTTTTTTTCTTGTGTGTGGTGTAAATTAAATTTTTAATTTGTCTTAAAAAATCTTCACCGATTTGATCATAATTTGTAAAGATATCCGAAAAGCCAAGATCAGTGAGTACAAAATGTTTCAGTTTTTTTATTCGAATACTAGTTGCAAAGGACGCACTGTCAGATTGCATATGGTTTGAAAGGTGAGTGAGAAATGTTACACAAGGTATGTTCAAGGGTTATTTCCCTGGCCATTAGTGCAAAATAATTGGTCTTAAAGTTACCATTTTCCTTTTTAGTCAGTAGTGAACACATTCGGCATTGTGGGGGTGGGAACGCGCGAACTAAGATATCATTGACAACCACACGAACCGGCAAAAATGTTTAAAGATTTCTATTTAGTCTCCGTCAAGGCCGATCTCACAAGTGTTAAAAGTACTAGTCACATTTCAGTTCTGTGTATTTAACGAAAGCGCTGCAAAATTTTAATAGAGCAGTGAACAACTAAAATTGTACCTTTCGTTATGACATGGTGTCATGTACCTGTGTTAGCTTACAAAAGGATTATACAGAAAGCTTGAATTTCGGATTACATTTCATTGTCTCGTGTAAGTTGAATGGAACTTTAAGCTTTAACAAAAGAAAGATCGGTTGGTTTTAAATGTTGCGTGTTCGGCTGAGAGGTTTGTTTAGGGATTTCTTTAAGTGGCAAGGAATTTTTCTTTACGTTTCTAGAACGTAAACTTTGTGAGTACATTGATTATCTTGTTCCGAATTAGTTTTAATGCACTAGGAATAGATGATAAATGAATTGTTCCAGTCAGTCAATGAATGGTAAATATAGTATCTAGTTTTAATTTCTAGTATAAATTTTTGCCATTAGGAATAGAGTTATTGAAAATCTTGACTGCAGTGAAAGTTTAAACAAAGGCGAAACCCTCCCTTTGTAAAGCCAAATTTTCTTCAGGTCGAACAATTATGTCTTACCAACTGCCAAATTTTAAGTTTTGTAGAAATACATCAATAGAACATTCGAATCTCTTAAAGTCATTGTAAAGTTGAAGCAAGTCAGTTGATTACACTTAAATTGTTTTATGCGCAGCATTTGTAGTAGTTGGTCATGTATGTGTACAAAACTATTTTTTTCTTTATGCTGGGAAATTTCAGTCATAGATTTATAGCACATACTTGATATTCCACGTTTATGTGTGAGTTTTATGTTTCTAAACCTTAATTCTTAATCACCAAATATTTGTCAAACAAGCCCGATGCGTATGTTTCAGCTGGTTAAATATCACACCCTCCATGTAGGGTGTATTCCTTGTTCATTTGTTATTGCTCTTTCTAAGGAGTCGATAACAGCTGCCTCCAACAAATTGCACTTCACATTTTGGGCCTGCTGACTTCAGAATTCGCTTGACACAATACAGAAGTCCAAAAACCTTTTTTTAGGGCCACAGGAACCACAAGATACCATCAGAAACAACACCCAGATTTTCTAACAGGAATCTCTGGCTCAGGAGAAATTTATGCAAGCACTCCCGGTGTTACTGACATTAAATAAGTTACTTCCAAATTTACTCATACAAAATATAAATTTGTATTCAAGTTAACTGCAAGCAACGCTACAAACTGGGAATTAATTTACTTTTAACAACAAAAACGAACAAGGCAAGCCTACTTAAAATGGAATTCTATGGGACTTTTTGTGCTTTTTGAATTCTTAGGACGATCTCACCCGTTATCGTGATACAATACGGGTCAATTCTGTCCACCTTTGTGAGTTGGTCAATACATATGCATCACTTTCTTTGGAAAAAAAAGAATATGTTCCAGTTTTGTTTAAGCAAAATTTCATCCGCTATTGTCTTGCCGTGTCGTGCTTCAGGGAACTACACGTTGCTTGGTATCCAGTTTTTTTCAAACAAATCTAGGTGTTCTTTTAGAAATAATGTCTGTAAGTGGTTGTAACAATGACTGACTTGACTGAATTTTGATTAAAAATATTAGGGTTGGAAAAAAATCCGGTTAATTCGGCAAGAAGCTGCTTTTTGGTGTTTTTGTTTTTAAATCGACCAAATATACACGGATGAATAGTCTTGACTGGGGGAGAAATCACGTTAAATTATGCAATTAAGTAAAGTGGAGATTTCCTTCTATTGTGCATGATATTATCGCTGACCAAACAGCAATATTCTACCAATGCAACTAGAAGCAAAAAGAAGCGATTAGCAATTTACAGCTTGAAAAAGGGTCACTGCAAAAACTGAAAATTCGGGTAGCTAAGCTTAATTTTGACAGTTTCTGAACGTGATAAGCTATTATCATCAAAACTAAAAAGTAATCAGCCTATTGCATACTAATAAGCAGGCCTCTTTGTGACGTCAGATCATAACTCTTTCGCGAAGGACGGCAATTAATTTAAAATGACTTGTCTGTGCCAGCGTTAATTAGTTCTGCACAACTCGAGCAAGATAGCAGAGCAAGGTTCCTAGCACTCGCTAGAGGATACTACATCACAAGGTAAGTTACACCCGACCGATTGTGGTAATGCATTTTTTAATTAAGGAATTCTCTACGAATGTTCGAATTTGCTCGGTTCTCACACATTTCCTGGCTCGATTTCTGCAGGATTTCTATACTTCTTCCATCGAAATGCCAAAAGCTTTTCTGGTAAGAGGTCAGATCAAAAAGGAGGCCGAGGGAAACTTTCATGCCACAGCGGAACCTATTACAGACGGTAAGATTTTCAAGTCTGTAGATAGCGTAGTGTACATTTCTAGAAAGCATTACTGTCGCCTTAAATAGGATTCAATGACTTATCAACCTTTGCGCCCGTTACTCTAAATCTCGATGACACGTATCATGCAGTTAGCTTGCAATTGAGGACATTACAGCATCAATGTAGCACAGTCCTTCATTATTGTGGAGCTACTTAACTCTGAAAGTAAAACTCATCGATCGTCTTTTTTAAGATAAAACTTTGCTTTGGTACCACGCAAAACTAATTTAGCAAAGACTATGAATCGTGCTAACTTAAAATGCCAAGAAATGATCATTTTTAAGACGTTGTTGATCAAAAGCTTATTGCGCACTATCCGAGTCGAATGTTTACAGCGAGGCCTCTTTTCTCCTGGTCTACGCTAAAATTTCTTATATCATCATTTCAGTTTACCAGTTGTTTTCTACGTCCAAAACCAATCATTGAAATAGAAAAAGTTCGGTCGATTTTTCTCCCGTAGGCGGAAAATGTTTCTCTCTCGTAAGTAACAAATTCAAGGACCAACCAGTTACCAGTCATTGATTATTTTAAGTAATTAATGATTTGATCAGTTAGTTATTCAATTAATTAGAGATGTTTTGAACTGGCAGATCGTTCGATGTGCTTTATGACAGCATTTCTTGTCGAATTCCAAACCGTCCCTTTTCATAGCCAATTGGCATTTTACAATGAAGAACACTGTAAAATGTATTCCTCTAGTTCAATTTCACATTTCACCGGCGAGGAATAACTGATTATTTAATTAACTGGAATGCTTAATTGCCTGGCTAATTGATTTTAGCTTTACCTTTCTCTTCTGTGCATCATAATCTATTTTCTAATTTGCAGTTGATTGGACTAATTAGGCAAATTATTAAGCTAATTAAAACTCATTTACAGGGAGAATAGTTCTCTCTAAAAGCAGGATTTCCAATTGGATTTCGATTTAGGATCTCGGGCAGGGCCATATTTTTTTGAACAGAGCGCAACTGTGAAGTTATTGTTACCACGATATTCATGTAATTTTTCAGCCATTGTTGGTAAAAAATATATGGTATTGCCCTAACCAAGGAAGGAAATCTGACCATAAGCAACAAGATTCGCTAACCGCCGGCAGAACAGAGTGTAAGCTAACCGAAAGCAAGCTGGCGTGAAAGTTCGGAAATCCTGTGTCGAAATCCCGACTCGAAATCCTAACTTGCTATCTCGACTTCGAAATCCAGACCGGATATCCTGACTCGTATTCGATCCACACTCGAGATCTAACTCAAAATCCAAATTTTGCCTCGATTTAGGAATAGGTGTCCCCATTTGAAAGTAAAGGTAACAATATTCTAATCCAATAGACCAAATTCATAAATGGTTGCCAATTTAAAATTCTTTTGTATGCATTTTAATAAGCCCAACTAACCCCGTTTGAGAGTAAAAATTCGTTTGAATTTTCAACTCTTAACGAGGTTAGTTGACGTTAGTTGGGCTAATAGGCATTTCCGAGTTGTCTTTTGCCTCTGTGTTAAAACGAGGGCGCTTTCCATTGGGGACAAATGGTGTGGAAATTTCCAGGGGAAGGTTCCAGAAAATCCGAAAAGTGTTGAATTTCCGAAAATCGAATCATTCGACTGAAACTTCCGGAAATTTCGGAAGGAAAATCAAATGGAACGGAAATTTCAGGAAAAAAAAATTCGAAAATCTAGATATACCTCGGGAGGTTGTCCTCTTTTTCCGAAATTATGTAAATTCGCAATTGTCCATTCAGCGCTAGTTCTTTTGGCCGCGACAACAGCGAGTTGGACATCCCACGCTAAGATGACGGATCAATATTTTACTTTAGAATCTTGCCACTTGTCTGTCGATAAATACAAGCTACTGCTAAATTCGTCAAGAAAGCGTTCAATTCCAATAAAAAAATATGCCGCCGTAGTGTATTTATTTGTTTTGCCGGCATAGGCTGCCCAAGCCTAAATGTGAGAAGATTTAAAACGCGTGCAGAGCCATTGAACCACTCATTAACCCTTTGTTTTGCGACGTTTTCGCTACTGTTATGGTTTGCACAGCGTCCCTGCTATTGCGGTCCACAAAAAAGTCACTGTTGCGACGTATATCAGTGTTCTGTTTGGTTCTATATTTCCGATTAAAAAACCTCGTAGTCATTGAAAAATTCCAAGCGAACAAAATTACGGCTTATCGTTTTCCACTCTGGTGCAGTCAACCGGAAAATTCTGTTCCATTCGTCCCAGCTAGGAAATTTTCGGAAATTCACACGGAAAGTTTTGGTCCAATGGAAAGCGTCCCGAGTCTTCGCGCGAAAAAATTCATATGGAAATATTTTCCGCCTACATTTTCGTTTTCATGCAAATCAAACTCATTTTCATATGAAAGGTTTTGCACGAAGACTCGTTTTGAAGCGGAGGCACAAGGTAACTCGGAAGTGGCCTATTTTAACACTTACAAAAGAATTTTTAATTGGCAGCCATTTATTAATAGGGTCTATAATATTACGAAGAACACAGCAATATCTTGGAGTTCAAAATTAAATCGTGATGTCCTCGCTATAATGTCCAGTATATCGCGGGTGTCTAACGATATCTTTCCTGATGATTATGTATGCAATACGATTTTTTCTTTACCTGTAAATGTCATTGTCAACACAACACTGACAAGACTGATGCAGATATTAGTTAGATTTTTTTTTGTCACATTATTTGCTCTACATGTATCTGTACAAATTAAACCTATTCACACTCAAATTACATTGTATGATTAAGTAAATGATGATTAATCTTGTCTTGTATCAAGTTGTTATATGATCACGTACTGTTACTATTTTGTGGCAGAAAATTGTTCATCCAATTTGTTCAATTTGTGTCCATCTGTTCATTTTCTTACTATTTTCATGTTTTTTCGACAGCAAGCAGTTTAAACCCCAACGAACTAATGGCGAAGCATACGATGCAGCCACCATTTCACAATTCAGCGTTTTCAGTCGTCAACCCTTTGTATCGCCGTGATTCAGCCACGCCAAGCATGTACCGCCCACGCCCAGTACAGCCACCGTTTTACAGCCAGATGAGAGAGTTTACATGGCTACCAGTTTCGCCAAACAAGTCATTTGCAGTACCGCAACCCGAGTCTATGCCACGCCTTGCTCATCACCACCCCCGTGAGTCCGTTATTTGTTGCACTGCCAGCCGTGCATTGAACTACAATCTAAGGATCCCCTTCAAGGAGCCGCAAGGAGGATTGTGTCTTAGAAGAAGTGTCATTCAACCACCTATGCCGTTGTTTAGTTCAGTTTCTTTCCAACAAAGATTTGAAAATGAAACAGCTGTGTCTGTAAAGCAAGAAGAAGATCGTCAAGCACACTTCCAGGACAGGTCATCCGAAACCGAAGATAACCGATCAGTGCAAGGCTTTCATCAGGCGCAGCATCTAAGCTGCAGTGAAGAAATGGGTACTAAACCCAACATCTCAAGCATCTGCTGGGATCCACCGTCTGAACCACAAGATACACTCTCAGAAAGTGCAGAGAAAGATGATCAAGGAAAGGGAGAAAACAACCTATTTACAGACAACTTGTCCATCAAGAAGAGAAACAGTCTAGAGGAACTGATGCCAAACGAGATTCCATGTGAAGAAGGGCGATCTGTTGGCTTAGACGCCAAGGAAATCAGCAACTTTGATGAGATTGAAGCCTTTGGCTCGGTCCAAACAGCATATTTCCCTGCCGCAGTTATTGTACGTGGGCAAAAGGAAATGACCGCGCATGACCACAGCCTTTGTCCAAAGTCCAAGTCCAAGCACGTGTGCGATGAGTGCGGCCGATCATTCACTCGTTCCAGTACTCTTATCACGCACAAGCGCATTCACACTGGGGACAAACCTTTCGTCTGTCAACAGTGCGGCCGCGCCTTCAGACAGCTTGGTAACCTGTCTCGTCATCAGCTGACCCATACAACTTCCAAGCCATACATTTGCCAACAATGTAACAAGGCATTTAACCGCGCCTCCAACCTACACACGCACATGCGCACCCACTCCGACTACAAGCCATTCAGCTGCGAATTTTGCGGTAAGCGGTTTCACCAGAAAGTCGACATGAAGATTCACCGCTACACACACACAGGAGAGAAGCCTCACAAATGCTTGAAATGTGGGCGGGCATTCAAGCAGCTGACGCATCTGACGTACCACATGAGAACGCATTCCGACGTGCGCATGTACAAGTGTGAGTTCTGTGGCAAGGGCTTCAATCAGAAGGGAAATCTCAAGGCCCACGTGTACCGTCACACAGGCGAGCGACCGTTCAAGTGTGACATATGCGGTAAAGGATTTACACTGGCTTCCACGCTGAACACGCACAAGAGGACGCACGCGCCTCATAAACCATTTCAGTGTCAGTACTGCGAGAAGGCGTTTTATCAGAAGAACGCCCTGAAATCCCACTACATTGCGTCGCATCCCTTTACGGGAGGAATTTCTTTGCTATAACGTCGGAAATGAGCCAGAAAAATAACTGAAAATTGTCACGCTTTCGGAACATTGTAGTGAATGTGGGCTGATCGAGATTAACGAGCATTTTTCTTGTAAGATACTAAAATTTTTAAAGATTACAACTTAACTTAATAGTTAAGGCTTAGTAAATATAAGGGAAAATAAAATCATGAGTTGTAAATAGCGACTAACAGATTTTTCGTCGGGGATATATGGGTTTGATAAGTTATTAACTATGCACTAATGTAATTTTCGAACAGCTTGTCTGTGTTTCTTTTTGAGAAGTAAGTCAGAAAATATTTCAACAGTGTAAGAGGTTTAGCTGTGACAGTGGTATTTGATAACTGCACTTTACAAATAAATTTTTCGTCTTTTTTGATGTCAGTGGTGTCTTCTTCATAGACTGAATCCTTAGTACATGACTATAACCAGTGAATTCATGGGCGGTTTCCATCTTTGTCTAGAATCTAGCTACACACCTGATCAATACAACATTTCAGCAGAAACGCTTTTAGACCTTTATGTCATTCAACAGGGTGTCTTAATTCAAAATATACGCATAACAGGGTGTCTTAACTCAAACTATACGCACCAACACATAATCTAAAACTCTCGACATTTTGTGTTATGTTACGCACAGTTAACCCCGTTAACTCAGTACACCAATGTGAAAATGAACATGCATGACAATACTAATATAATCAAAATGGACTTTTTGAATGGGGTTCAGTTTTAATCGCCACCATGTTAATGCAGTTGATATAATACTGTGGACAGCTTTTACAAATCTGGTGAGTTTTGATAGCCGGTGAGGTGCGTCGCCGGCGTCAGTGGCTAACAAATGGATTACAAAGAAAGTTAAAGTTTTAGTTCTACTTTGATTTCCACGATCGATAAAGCATGTTTCCTCTTGCAATGAAAGAATCTAATCTCAGAGTATCTTAAAGGCAAATTCTGAATTCTAGTTTTCAGAATTGTATTCAAGTTTGTCCTCGTACAAATGGTACTTTTATTCGGCATCAGCTTTTAAAACAGTAGACAAATAGACTGGCTAAGTCTATAGTAGTGACGATATCTTAATTCTTGGGTTGAAAAAAGAGGGCTGATAAGTAGTATAGACGCATCGGCAGTTATTTGTTTTCTAGTTTTCACCCGAGTTTTCGCTGAACCAAAACAAAACGAAGTAGTTCAAGTTTAGGGGGTGGAGCGCCCTCACCTCTTAAATTATCATTACCGCATATGAAATAGTGCTGAACGGCTGAGATTCTCCAAAACTTCCTGTCAATCGCTAGAATAGATAGAACTTAACTTGAGGTTGTTTTTCTCGCATCCCGCGATCACTTGAGGTTGTCACTCTTGAACCGATTAAATCTGGTCTTGATCTAAGGTCCAGATTTTTTCCGGCAATGACATCGTGAGTCACGCTTAGCCAGTGATCGTATGGCTGACTAAGAAAGTGAAGAATAGATTTGCTTTGGGAATTTAGTTAAGTTTAATTCAAGGTTCCAGCTATATCAGTTTTGAAAAGGATACACCCCCAAAACGTGGGTTTGTTGTTTTTTTTTTCCGTAAACGGCGTAAACTCTCAAAATGTCTTCTTCCTGTTATGGAACCAGCAAAATATCCCCAGGGCTTGTTCTCCAAAAAGTAATATTTTATCTATCGAGGACCTCCGTAAGGTGTGCTATATGTCTCCATCAATGTTAAATACATCTGGAAAGATTCCAGATTTCACTCTGGAGGTTTTAGTCATACAATAGTATGAACAAATAAATGATCATATCCGAACAATTTATTCAAAAAATAAAAATTCTGTGATAAACAAACTGGAAAAACATTAGAACATCTTTCGTTTCAGTTTCGACCTCTTTCCGATAGCCATAAGTGCACGCGGATATCATTGTATGTTGTTTTCTCAATGTATGTAAGTGATAGCCGTTGGAGAACAAACAATTGAAACTCCTCCGCTTTGTCGAAGCCTCAAGGAAACAAAAAATAGTTTAAGAAAGTGAACCCGCGAAATAGTCGATGGTAAATGACTAAATTGAAATAGGCAACAACGAAAACGAGCCCATTCAGTTTAGTCCGAGATAACAAGCACTTCAGTCGAGATAGATAGGTTCAACATGTTACTGCTATCGCTGTATTTAGCAAACTTGAAAAAAAAATGTTCCTATGAGAAAATGATTTTGAAGGAAAGAGGTGAAACACGCCACATGAATGTTTTCTTTTAGAAAGCGCTTAATGTTTGCAAGTCTTGCTAAGATATCGTTATTATCTTTGCCTTATCCATGCTTCTGTTGGGCCTCAAAAAACTGAACCTGTCAATCAGTCTACTAAAACTGACTTCTGCCTTTTAACGAAAAGATTATCTCTCTATATATTAGGTACTATAAGTAAAGCTTTTCCAGATCTACACACTGATAGATGCGATCACTTTCCACTGGAAAGTATCTAGAGCACGCAAACAAGATGAAAACATAATTGAAAAGGAATTTGAATGCCAAAAATGTCAAATTGGAAGTATGTGGAGAAGTCAGTTGATCTTATGTAAGCGGATAAAGGAGAACGTACATGCATTTGAAATAAACTACGAGTTTTGAGAGAATTTCAAGTATATGTACATTAAGATAGGGACGATTACTTGAAACAAGTAAAACTCCATAAAATAATCTCGATCGTCTTAATTGCCCGGGGCTTAATTGCCGCCAAAACTACGATTAACTTTATGGCTGTATAGTGCTAAATAATGGGTTGCACTTGCAGCTAAATTTATTATCTCAAAAGCTTCGGAAAAAAAAAACTGGTAAGTTAAATTGTAAAGACGCAATTTCAAAAAGGATGTTTTTGTCGTGTACATATACCAAACCACTTCAGTTTTGTTAAGTTCGGGAATCCGGCTGTTACAAAATAAATGTCACGGCTTACTGACCCACGCGTTGTTGGAACAAAAGATATTTTGCACTTCTTGTTTGCTTCGTCGTTAACTGAAGGGACATTAAGTCTTGAATTTATTTCAGGAAAGAGGGTATGTAAATATAATCATGAAATGAAGACAAACATTGAAGTAAATGATGAATAAACGCTTTGTTTACAGATTCTTCCACGTAATTTTATTCTATACAACGGTTCATGTTTTGTCGGCAGATCTGTGAAACTTTGTTATCTTTTCCACGAACCCAAATTGCTGTTCATTAAACACTTAGGTGTTTTAAAAATAAGCTTTTAAATTAAATGAACGCACTGCAGTTTCTTACCAGAACAATCGCAATCCATAAGTCTTGTTGAAAGGTGAGATTTTACGATCGTTTTGATAGTAATACTTCTAAAAACTTGCTGAACCATCAGCAATTAGTGCCATTGTGACTTGTAATGTTTTTAGATGCTTACCTTTATGTTGATTTTGCCTTATATTTTCGACCTTACCATCGGCATAAAATCCTTGTTTTGACTTAATGGCAGGAAAAAAATACCGTATAATTCTTTTATTTTCTTCTTTAATCTGTAAAAACAATTAATTAAATTCGTGCGTAGGCCCGTGCAGCATCCCCTTGTAAGCTGGTTCCGTTTTACCACTCAAATATCATATCAGACAGCAAGCTAGGGAAAACTTTCATAAGCATGTTATCTATCCATTGGCCTTAAAAGCTACAGAAACACTCTTGAAAGAAAGTTCACGTTTCTTCCTGTTTTGACACGCTGATCTCGTTCATTGTTTTATTGTGGGCGTAATGGGACCATGTGACTTACAAATCTAATCAAATTTCTTTTAACAAAGAATATAAAATGAGAACTGACGTTCGCTTAAAATCTTCAGAACGCTTGTTAACTTCTCGCTGGTTTCAATGAAGATGCTGTGCTTGAGGGTAACGTTCGTGTTCTTATTGAGTAACTCCATTGTTTGCCAAGTATTCAGGTCTGAATTTCAAGGTCATAACACAGGTAGGTGTTAACATTAAATATAGTCGAAGATACGACAAATGCAGCCAACAGTGCCTTGAATGAAAATAAGAAAAGATAACCTAAGGTTATGTAGTTGTCTTTTTAAGTTCTTTTGACCTCTTTTTATGCTACAGGCTCGCTGAAAGCAAATGGGGAGGACAGCTTCCAAGTTATTGCACAGCAGTTGCCAAGTACTTCTGAAAAAATTTCTTCAAACAGAACAAGGGATGTACCCACTGGAGACGCCGATCCTAATCAACTCCTCTCAATTCGAAGTGAAAACGTCCTAGACACTCACGAATTTTTGAAGTACAAGAGGAAAAGTATCGTGGGTTCAGATGATAGAATTCATGTAAAACCAGCAAAGACCCAAATCATGCCTTTCAAAGCGGTCGTGAAAGTGAAGATGAGCGCCCAAGCGGGATCATGCTCTGGCATCCTGATTGGCCCGCGCCATGTCTTGTCTGCTGCTCACTGCTTTCACGACGGCAACAGGTCTTTAACGCCACTTCGCGCCTTAAAAATTGGCATTCTGCAGCGTAATGAACGTTTCACTTTATACTCTGTCGAAGACGTGTTCCTACCGCGCGCTTTGTACCAGGCAAGGCGTGTGAATCCGGAATACGATTACGCCGTCTTGACCCTCCAGCGGCCTCACGGACGACCGTTTCTTCAGATCGTAGCCATGTCAATGAGGAATCTCCTCCGGTTTACGACAATGCACTTTGCCTGCTTCCCGAACGACAAGCTAGAAAATACGATGTGGTACTCGTCGTGCCCCGTCGGTTGGCAGCCGACCAACACCACTTACCGAACTGTAATCATGAATAAGTGTGACGCCGCCGGCGGCTGCTCGGGAGCCGGCGTTTATGTGGTGGATCACAGGAGTGATAATCGATATGTAATTGGAGTCTTGTCGAGCACAGTCAACAAGAAACCGAAGAATGTCGTAACACGTTTGACGTCTAAGAAGGTGAAAGAAATATGCCGTTGGATTGGATGGTTGAAAAAATCAGGATGTCGTAGAAGCACCAGTTAACCAGGAAACGAACTTGCCCTGTGTTGGCCATTAGAATAAGAGGCATTATTTTTTTTTTGAATGATGAAATTAAAATAAAGAACTAATCACGAACAGATGATAAGAAATGTAAAATATGTTTTTCTTTTCTTGAGAACAATTAAAAGAAATTAAGACGTTGTCGACGTGATTTTTTTGCTGTTAGTCGTTTCTTGCCCAAATATTGATGAAATCATTAACAGAAATTATTCGAACGATTTATCGACATGGTTTATTGATGTTTGAAAAAATCATTCAAATTGCTCTAGGGTATTGAAAATTTAAACATTAAATACTTGTTAAGGGGAAATGCAGATTGTGAAAATCGGTTTCTGCCGATTTTGTCATCGTTTTACCTGGGGCAAATAAATTCACTCAACGACACCGTCAGTGGCCTGTGGAACTCTTTCTTCCCAAACTCAATATCTGAATATTTCTGAATTTATACAAGACACAAAGTTCTGATTGTAGGTTGTGCACTAACTCAATATAGAATCGACAGAAGGAACATGAAGCCTTAGTAAAGCCTGTGTTCCAAACTGCGGAGAAAAATAGTTGAATTCTTGGCGAGTATAAACGGTCCTGAGAGATAAGGGGCGGGTTTATTCCTAAGCTAGCGTGAAAACTGATGGCAAAAGAGTTTAAGCGTTTTTTTTTTTTTTGATTCATTAATTTTCTCTCTTTCCTTAAATCAAGGGGAAAGCGTCATTACTCGCATTTTCGTATAGTTTCGACAATGACGTACAGATAGAGTCGTTTCGCCAATGGCGCGACTTGGTTTGAGGATGCACTTTCAACGTTTTTATAACCTCTTTGCTTCCCCATGCAAGTTGTTTGATTTAAATAGCTTTGTTTGATGACGAGCGGGTGTTTTGGCTGTATACCCAGGTGACCGCTTTCACTGAGAAAGAGGTGTCGTTTTGAGACCATTAGCTACATTTTAGTTATCAAGGTTTGGCCGGAAGGCGCAGGAAAGTCACCTCGGCTATGTATGTATGCTTGACCCTTGGCGTGCGCTTTGGAGGAAATGGTGCACTTACTCATCAACGTCTTACACTGAGAGTCCACATTGGGAGAATAAGAGAGGTTCAAATGGTATACTCGTGATGTTACGTTTTCTGATTGATCTCCTCATCCACAAATAAACCAACCTTTCTGGCATTTCCCAAAAAGCATAGAATACTCTTAAGAGTGTTCAATAAGACTTTCCATCAAAAATCTGTACAAATCTCAGACTGCTTTGCAATTATATTAATTAGTCAGTCTGTTCAAGACCGTTCCCGGCTGCCGGTCATATAAACGCCACCTCGTCTTGAGGCACTTCTTTGCACCACCGTGCAAATAAAGTACGCGAATTATTTCCATGTTTTGACAATTCAACTCCTCTGTTACGGTTTAGGCATGCTATTTATTTTGCTTCACGCGCTGCACTCTTCGTCGCACTCAAACAAAGACAGTAAGCTACAGTACTTTGACTGCTTTCGATTGTTAAGAGCCAGTGCCCATAATTATGGACCAAACAACGGCACAAGTCGAAAAATCGATTTTGCTCATT